GTTTTGGCGCGTTTCAGAAACAGGTGCCAAACTTCTATATTTACGTCATCTACAAACTTTACAATATGACAGCCTGGATGGGTAGGTGTGAAGTCATACATGAGCAGAGTGAACAGGAGGGGGCTCAACACACAGCCCTGTGGGGAGCCAATGCTGAGGGTTATGGTGGAGGAGGAGTAGATCCACAGACTGCAGTCTGTTTGTTAAGAAGTCCAGGACCCAGCTGCAAATGGAGAGGCTTAGTCCTAGTGTGAGTAATTTGTTCATCAGGGTTTGGGGGATCATGGTGTTGAAGGCAGATGTGAAGTCCACAAAGAGCATACGGACGTAGGAGTCCTTCTGCTCCAGGTGGGTGAGAGCAGTGTGGACCACAGAGGAGATAGCATCTTCTGTTGATTGATTCTCACGGTATGCTTACTGGTGAGGGTCCTCGCTGATGTTGATGGTTGTTTTGATGTGTGTCATGACCAGTCTTTTGAAGCGTTTAGCGACTGTCGTGGTGGGGGGTTACTGGCCGATAGTCATTCAGACCAGTCACTGTAGAGCTCTTTGGAATTGGGATGATGGTGGCAGTCTTCAGGCAGGTGAGAACTGTTGCCAGGGTGAGGGAGGAGTTAAAGATGTCAGCCAGCACCTCGCACAGCTGATCAGCACAGTCTTTCACCACCTTCCCGGGGATGTTGTCTGGGCCAGTTGCTTTGTGAGGATTAATCCTCCTGAAGGTACTCCTTACTTCAGCTGAGGTCACACTGACAAACTCCTCTTCCAGGCTCAATGGGATTTACCTGTCTAAATAAAGGTTGAAAGAAATGAAAAATAATCAAAAATAACCAAGAATGTATTATCAACTCGACAACTTTTAAATACCAAAAAATACATATAAATAAATAAATTCCAAAATTTCAAATGTGACTAAAACATCCCTCCATCCATCTATGGGCACCAGTGACTGAAACAGTGCTCTTGATTGAAAAAAGTTTAAGGGTAAAGATTTATTTATTGTACTTCGATGTATCTATAAAACAGGATTAGTCACGTCTTCGAAAAAACAAATTTCTATATATATATATATTTCTAAGAAAATAAAGAAAACTTTCAAATGGGTGAAATAAAATTGACGCACACATATGACGTCATCACGTATCAGGCGGATAACCGAATAGTCGGGATTACTTTTTTTCTCAGTAGCAGCTAACGGCCACGAGTCAACACCAGCTGTGGTCTCATCGCTGGGCTGAACAGCCCGTTGGCAATTAGTCATCCCTTCACCATTGTTGTCCGTCGCGTCAGGTTCTTTTTATCCGGTACCGGGTCGTATGGAGTCTTCGTTTAAATACTCGGGAAGGCGCTTTGCGGGCGACGAAACGTCCAGCTAACGTTGACTCGCCGCAGCCAGCCACGGACTGCTGCCCGGACGGCGTGTGGACGAAGGAGCGGAGAAGCTCAGAGCTGCTGGACGAACGTTTGTTCCAGCCGAACAATGGGCCTAATATTCGCCAAACTGTGGAGCTTCTTTTGCAACCAAGGTGCGTGTCGTGTTAAAACAAGGTTCCAGCTCACGAACCTCCCGCTAGATGCTCAGGCGAAGATATGACCTGTTAGCATAAAGTGAGCGGCGGAGCCACAACAACAGATGGAGGGGGGGAATTATCTCGCTACACATCTTTGAATCTCAGCTGCTCCGCTCTCCGAAGTCTTTGTTCAACTTTCGTGTCAAAACAGCAAATGTATTCATTGCACCTCACCACTGTAGGTAATCTGTCTTAATAGCGCTTAATCCAGTTTGTCAATCAGCTCCAGTACACATTTCGTTGCTTAACTTTGTGGAGACTTTCTCTAAGGGTTACAAAAGATTAATTCACCTACATCTTTGTGGTATTGTGCTGTCATATTTGTGTGTGTATATATATATCTATATCTATATATATAGATATAGATAGATAGAGTTATAGGTATATAGATAGATAGATAGATAGAGT